TAAATCCTTGCAAAGGCAGAGTTAAGAACTCGGGCGACGATGTACACTACCGGTCGAAAGTATGGGACCAGGTCTGATAATTAAGAAAAGAGAAAAATATTATTCTACAAACATGTGATAAAAGTAACCTACAAAAATAGATTGGAAATCATTTGTAAATGTACTGATTCCGTAACTTTTATTATATTGTTAGAAAATAATGAGTTACGGTTCCATTGATCATGAACTCTGGTACCATACTTTTGGCCGGTAGTGTATTTCTTTCTCTTTTTTTAAACGTCGAACGATTCAAAGGGGATGTAGTAAAGCAACGCAAAGCTGAACGGAAGCTCGTCGCGTGGCAATGGTCGAAGAAATAGTTTTCGAACTTCCGCAGGGGGCACGCTTGGAATGTGCAAGCGTTTCAGTGTTCGTCGGAAGGAGCCGAGACGACGGCGGGATGGTTGACGTGTTCTGGTAGGAAAAGTAACTTCGTTCAATTTTTCACGGTGGAATTTAATATCGGACGTGCCAATGTTATTCGTGGGTTCTCGATAATTCCGGAGGATTCCAGATTGATCTTTTAATACCCATCCGCGGATCTTGCAAGTTCACGCTGCCGCCGCTTTTCCGTCGAATCAATCTGTTGGGTTGAACTATTTCTGGATTCTTCTCTGGAGGAATTTTCGGGGTATTGTATGGAGGACCATCCGCCCTCGTTAAAATAGATTCCCATCTACGTTTCATCCGTCGAACGGTATTGCTTCAACGGTCGCGTTTATATTTCAAATTACGCGGCTTGTTTATTTTGAGTGCTGCGACCGAACAAGTAGAAGAGCCGCGATATAGGTCAGTCCGAGCGACCTCGGTTATCCTTTCGTTTCCGATATTTTTAATTAAATTGCCGTCGGCATGATCATCAAGAACACTCATCTTTGATTTATCCTCGTTCCATTTTCACCGCGAAGAAAATTATTCAATAAAACCTGTACGAGATTGAATGATAAAATACGAGCGCCATAAAATACAAAGAAATCGTTTCTGTATAGAATGTTTATAAAACAGTTTTTTTTTGTTTAGTGTGTACAAATGTATGATATTAGTAATTTTTACGTCGATGATATGCATGGAATATTTCTTAAGGGATGACTTTAACGACTTTTATGGTTTCGTCGTTTTTTATAAATAGAACTTGTTTATTTTGTCTGAAGAAGCAATTTATCCTTAATATGGGTATATCAAATGTTCACTCTTGTTGTATGTATTTTTAAAAATATATGTTGAAATTACTATTAATCAAATCATAAAACTAATCCAATTGACAAAATTGAATCAAGTCGTCGAGCCAAAAACAACTCTCTGTATTCGTCTCCACGATTGGACTGGAATTTGCCCTGTTGGGATTCGGTAAAAGGCGACAACCGAGCAATTAGGCGCGTCTTCTCAGGTGCATGGTAGCAGGAAACGGACGTTCTGGTAGTGTCCCGATGTTTCTCTAGCTGGGAAGCGTGTAAATTTCGGGTGGGTCGATAAATCGCGAAAGAGATAAGCCGGAATGCTACAGGAAATTAAGGTCTTGGCTCGTACGCCCCTTCCACCCTCCCAAGTCTCTCTCCGGATTCGGGTCTGAGCCAGTGTCCTTCCTCTCTGGCTTTCACTTTAGCTTTGTCGGTTCCCACATAAAGCCGGCCTGATTAAGTGTATGTTGTCGAAGAACGATCATATCTCTTCTCTCGTGTGGTTTTCTTCGCGGTGGACTCTTCTTTTTTTTGCTACCCTCTCTCTTCGTTTTTTCTCCTGTTCCTCTCTTGAAAAGACTCCGACGAGAGAAGCCCGATGAAAATGAAAGGCCTAGACGTCCCCCATTGGCTCCCGGGGGAGCACGCCGTGAATATAGGGTTGGAAGAATATATATATATATGTATATACACCTATATTCGAGTAAGAAAATATTCCTGCGAGTCCTCGTATATATGCCAGGAGACTGTTCACGCGACAGTAAGTTTGATATCTGACCCGTTGAGGTATGGAGGGGCCATGATGATTATCGTTACGCATCTGCCGTACGGGAATTTAGAGAACCGTAAAGTTCTACGGTATTCGGGAAGATGGAGAGACGAAGGCGTGGTAGATTGACGATACAGTAGATCGTGGTCGAGCGTACAGGATGGTTTGAAATTCCTTAACCAAATGTTCAACACACTTGTTCTGGTGATTACGTCGACTGGAAATGTCATTTGAACGTTCACAAGCTAAAGGGCGCTAACGCACTAATCCTTCTCCTCTATTTGGGACAGTAAGATCCAAAGGGAGTATTTGACATTTAGTCATTCTGTTTGGTACACAAGCGTGTAAATAAGTGATTCCAGTATAATCTAACTGTGGAATCCTACGTGAACTTGTGTTAACATATCGTAGTTGGTAAAATTTTTGATGCTTTAGAATTCAGTGATGTTATATAAGGAAATATATTCTATTAAATTATGGTTTATATTTAGTTGAATAAGTATAGAAATACTGGAAATCCATAGAAACAGAAATCAACTCCAACAGTATTCAAATTTTATTAAATTTCGTATGACAAGAATAGCGATCAAATAATAGGAGTATTAACATGTTTTCAAGGGTACGATCATTATGATAATTTTACAAAGTTTCGTTGAGAAATCTGAGAACATTCTCGATATCGGTGGAAACGTCGTGAAAAATCTGTGTTCCGCCTGAGTCAACTGCTCCGGAGGTTCTTTATCCCGCAGTTCACACACGACTGAGTTTCTTCCCGAATGCATATTCCCGCACGCCCATCCGTGCCACGCGCGCACACACGTGTCTCGATAATACTAAACAAATCCTGTCGAAATAGCGACGGACACTTTATGGGCTAAAAGAACGCTCCGAACTTATTCCTATGGAGGACACGTTTCAACCCCTGTTCCCTGGTCTGTGTTTTATACCCCCTGGCAGAAAGGTTCGCGCCTTTAACGCGATGCTTTAAAGCACGATATCGCGTTAAACTGCAGCGTTCGTTTTTCTGAAATTATTTATCTATTGAATTTTAGGGAATTAGGCGCTACATATATAATATAGTATAATGTTAAATATAGATCGTGGCTCTTTAAAGTGACATAATCGATAGAACGTATCCAGGTGTCATTGATTAGTTATGCAAAACTTAATGCAATTTTAATCGTTGTGACTTTACCCTCTCTGTTATTCGAAGAATAGTGTGAAATTTAGACCATATTAACATTCAGTTTAATATTAATTTCAGTACTTGAAATAAATTTAGCCTCCTAAGTAGGGAGAGTGGATCTATCCGCTATGACAAGTCGATCGTATACGTGGCCTCAACTCATTTAATATTTATTTGTCACTTCGTTTTAATGATCTTGCAACAAAAAACTCTCTTTTCGTTTGTAATTACGTTTGACAATTGGAATTCTGGCCATCTTTGTTAAGTCAAATGCTCCACAGCGGGGAGCGTGCGAAAATTCTTTCCCTCCTTAAGGGGTTAATAACGAATGGTTCTCATTTCTCTTTTAATTAATCCAGAATGGTTCACCCGGTTCTTCCAGCAAAAATACATTCCCTTCATTAGCATGTGGGAATTACGTATGACTTAATCCGATAATTAGCCGTTTGAAACGGACGGTTTGCCAATTTAACCCCCTCCGTTCCGAAAAATCGTCACGCGTATTCGATGCGCGTCGAACCGTGTGTATCGGCTTCCGATTGTTTGGTCCCGTGTAACATCAATTAACCGGTGTACATTCTTGATATTTAATTACACACCGGGACCATTCCCACGGGGCCAGGAGAACTATTGTGTCCCGATATCGAAACGCGCGTATTTGCTGCGCGAATAGTCGCACGCGATGTTACGCGAGATAATCTCGTTAACGAAGACAATGCCGCGGTAATCGAGGAGACAATGCTCTGGGTAACAATACGCGACGCGCGTTTAATGTTTTTACCCAATGATTGGCTGGCGCCGCGCGTTCACGTCTGGTCCTTTCTCGGCCCCGAAATTAGGATACAGAGTTGGGCCACTTACGGGCGGACACTCCCCGTTAATTTCCGGCTGTAAATACTCGATTCTCGCGTCCCTCTCTGTCCTGTCCCGTTTCCTCCCCCTTCTGATCGATGATTTCTTTCCGTTTCCATTCCATCACCTTTGAACGACAGGGGTGTATTTTTATTCTTGTCTCGATACATTCGGCATTCGTCGTTGGTATAGACTCGCGAGAAATTTGTTGAAGGATAATGATCGAGTGGACAAGTTGATACGTTGTACCTGCTATAATTTTCTTTTGGGTTTTGAGGGGGTTAATGTCCTACAAAAACATAGGTGCGAATAAAGCCTTGAGTCAGCGCAAGGCGGACTTGTTATTAATTAGTAGACCGCGTTTCATAGAATGAAATAGGTAATTATGTTTAATAGCGTTTTTACATCACTTTAGTAAAACTTGTACCACCGTCTGTGGTTAATGAAAGTGGAAACAGTGAGTAATAGTCAGACTCCGCCGAGAGCCTGTACTCGCTACCAGGAACAGTTTGCTTTATTCGTGGTTTGTTTCACTTTTATTCATTAACGCGTTCTTTGACGCTATTTGTTGCTACAACAATCTTCAAAGACTACATTTCCACTAGTCTGTTTGATGTATTTTTTAAATTACATTATGGAATTATTCGTGAAATGTCGAAAAACGTGTCTTCCGACAACTCTTTGACAAATCTTCGACCGCCGACGACCGTTTGACGACCCTTCGACGACCTTTATATGACCCGTTGGCGACCCAATGATCTGAACGTGGCGCATAGTAACGCAAATGTTAATATCTATGAGTCGTTTATTTGCCAAAGTGATTAACTCCACAAAAATTACGGAAGAAATTTATTTTAAATATAAAAAAGTTGACACCAGTCTAGTACTTTGGCCAGTAGAGTTAGTTAATTTCTTTATCTGAAGTAAGTAAAATATTTATTGACTTTAATGAATCTGCTACGTTTTCTTGTTGCAGATACGCGATTGGTTGACCGTCGAAGAAGAGATGTCACGACAACAGGCCGTGGTTGTCGGCGACGTCGACAAAATCATACAAATGATCGACAAACAAAAGGTGAGTAGAGAACACAGAGAAATTCATCTATCTTAAAACCGTGGAATTTGTTTTTCTACGCGTTTTCTGATTCGCAAATATTTTACGATAACTTCAACCGACTACGATAAATCTTTATAAAACCTACCCATAAATATTTTTAAACTATAAATGCGGTTCATCATGAAACTTCGGCGAAGTGCACGCTCGGGTACTTCAGTATCTTAATACAGTATTCAGTAACACTTTACCAGTACCCGAAGTTTCTATCTCTTCGTTTTAAGCTTTCGAATCAATCTAGCATTAAATAACTTATGGTTTTCATAAAGTGCTTACTTCGCGCTCACTTTGAGAGAATATAATTCTGCTGAAATTTACAATTTACAGTCAAATTAAGCCCTACTATCAAACATTTATCATAAAGAAAATGTATGTATTAATTCCACGTGTAGAAAAATTGTGTTTACAACGACTGGCTTGGTGTATCACAGTAACGGAGTTGTAATAACCCATTTTCATTCAGAAACGGAATATTCCATCGGATTACCGAGCTATATTAGCAAACGCGAATTAATCCGCGCGCGCGCTCGCGTTCGTGATGACCAAGCCGTATCACTAAATGCAGAATAATCCCCGAGTGTTCAGTGATCATCATTCCAAAATACAAACATTAGAGAGGTCGATCGACAGGCGATTGTTATGTCTCGGTTGCTACTGCCTCTGGAATCGTGACCTCATTTTGCAAAGCGACGTAAAACTTTTCGGTTTGTATTTGCATAAATAACTTACCGATAAATACGATCATCAATTGTTTTTCCATACCTTGGGCACGTTGAAGTACGTTCATATGCAAATAATTTAACCGTATAACAGGCATATATTTTCATTTCTTCTTTTTCTTTTTCTTTATTTTTTGAAGGAACACTTGAATTTCTCAACCGAAAACGTGGAGATTTACTTCACATCAGTGAAACTCCGTATCCCCGTTGCAAAAGTTAGATATTAACCGGCGACAGAATTTGACGCACTTTTAAAACGAGCATTGCACCGATGCAACACTGGGCGTTAAAGGGTTAAACATAATATATTTTATTCGGGATAAAAATCTTACATCTCAGCCAAGTGTTTTCATCGATAAACTATCCAAACGATCTAGTTTTTTCCATTTACCTACAAACGTAAAAAACAATTCTTATCTTATCAAACATACCGACGGAAAGCAGGGATCTGAAAGCTACTGGGTCGACAACACCGTGACCTGCAATATCCACGAGGGTAGCAAAACGGGGTTGGAACTTTCACCACCGACTAGGTATAAGATAGACTTATCATCTTACGGGACTTCGTGTCTCATGTTCTGAAATATCGATAGTGTAAAAAGTTTGGGATTTTCTGCTGCCCTCTACGTTATAAGAACGGTGAATTTGTGAACTACGTTAAATCTAAGAAGGGACTATGGTCGTGAACGGATTCTCTTTCGTCCGTTCGCTCTAAAGTAGACGTATTAGAAAGCAGTCTTGGGTTCGATCCCCGGCGGACCTATTGGTTTTTTTTCGCGTATAAAAAAGTTATTGCGTTTAATATTGTTTTTATGAATATGTATATGTATTATTATGTACATTTGAGTAAATTATTTTATTATTCCATTGTTATTAGAACAGTTTAACAGTGACAACGAACGCATGTATATTTTCAAATATCGGACTAACAGTATATTTTTATTCTATATTATTACATATGTGTGAGTAACACGTATCAAAAACGTAATCGAAACACAGATTTTTATTACACCACAAACATCGCATAAAAGATATTTCTTTATTCGCTCTGCAGGGTAAAGTGAACAGAACCACCAATCTCTACTATATCAGCTTGCAGTTCCCTGCACAGTTTCTCGATCGAAGATGCCTTTCTAGTGAAGTTTCAGCGGAATCTTTCGAATTCCGTGGAACGATGTCGCTTCGTAGGATTTCCGAACGAGGGCGGGGGTTTCTGGGTTACTGACCGGGGAAACCATGACATTGGCATTGGCATTAAGGGACCAATGAACGTTGCCACGCCTTTCTCTGTGCGTCGACGATACATTGTTGCTTCTCGCGCGCAATAGTTATGCTCGGACTATTGATTGCTCGAGTGCGGATTTCGTGCTCTCTCTCTCTCTCTCTCTCTCTCTCTCTCTCTCTCTCTCCTCTTCCCCTGTGTGCCAGCCCCTTCGACGATTTGCTCCTGAATTTTCGAAGATATATTGTCCGCTTGATCCGCGTCCTTTTTTTTTCGTCACAGTTTACGGTAAAAAAAAATTTTTTTTTTATACGTGAAGCTCCATTCGTGAAAACGGCGTGACGGATTTGTCGGAACTTTTGACTGGATAATTCGATCGTTTTTATTGAATTCGGGTGACTTTTGGAGCCGTTTGTGCGTTTTTTTATTCTGTTTACGGTAATATTTGTTCTGCGCGTGCTTTATCTGTTTGTTTTTAGCAACGGTGCTAATGATTTTTAATTCTTTTGCGAGGAATTTGATGTTTAATATTGATTCTTTTTTAAGTCAAAAGCCAGAAGCGGTTCGAAAGGTTTAGTACATCTGTCGTATCAATTTTTGCAAATAAATTTATTTAACAAAGATCATTAAGACGCAATAATACTAAACGTTTCTCTGTCAAAGTAATATAAAATATATTGTCATCGTCTTTGGCTGTTTAATTGTTTATTTCACGAACAACTCGAGTAGAGTGAACCGTGTATCCAAATTATCTCGACCAATTATTCAAATTACTTTATCAAAGGACGACTTCAATCAAAGATTATAATATTCCCCGTTTAACTCGTTCATACATCGTCCCGCTGCCTGTACAGGTGAAACCCCGTAATCTTTCCCAGTCCCGAGCAAAGTGGTACATTGTTCGACCGGTGCTCGATGGAACGAATTAATTAAGACTGATTGGTAACCCCTTCACGACCTCTTCGATAAAGCCTCGATCCGGAACGAGTCCCTCCGTCTACCCTGTCCGTGCTACCATCGATTTTTTCTTTTCGATTTCCACGTTCGAGCAGGGGGAGACAATTTTTCTCGATAATATTTCAAATTCGACCAGAGAAAGACGTTCCACCCACGTTAAAAAGCTTCATTCTTGGCGGAAATTGGGTTACTTCTCGTCGCCTCTATGCGTTCTCGTTCCCTTGCTCGGAGAAGAATAGCGCGTTCCGTTGATCAATGGGAGCCGATTCCGCGAGGATCCAGCGGCCTTCTTTCTCGTTAAAGCGCCATTCGACGTTCCCGATGAACCGAGTTTTCGGAATACGATTTGTCGGAGGAGGGGTCGAAAACAATGGGTTTGTTACGCCGGTGTTGTTATTGATTTCCGATTGGAAAGCCGGGACGAAAGATATGAAGAAATGAAAGAGAGCCCGCGGAGCGGAAGAGAAAGGTGGAAGGCTGGGAGAGGTGGTCTTCCATTCTGTACAGGAGGGGTATTGGAGACCTCTTTGAATTCCGTTGATTACGGGAATTAAAATGATTCGATATGCGGGGCCGATAATTGCCTGCCGGAACACGGAAATACGAGACGTTACTTCGAATTTTGGACAGACATATGGATCCGAGAGAGATATTTGTTTATAGTCAATTCTCGATAAATGCTCGGCCAGATGTCTACGTTAAATGTTTCTGTATCATCTCCACTACTGCTTTTAATATTTGACGGTAAAATACAACGGCATAGTTTTCCTTTACGATAAGTGTTCCGAAATAGTTCCGAGCATTAATCGAAGATTTATTATATTTCGATGTTTTCTACATGACAATTAATTGTGTAGTCAAAATTCCACCTCACCAGTTAAATGTTAATTCAACCACTAACCTATTAAGCTGAGATATTGGTTAAAAGAATGTTTTTTTTTTTTAGAATCAAAACAATCACTATCACTTGAAAAATAAGGACACAATCTCAATCATAATCTAGAGCTTACGGGATTTTTTATATAGGCAGTCAACGCATTAAAGGCACTCGTGTCCGCATATTGTCATTGCTGTGTACTATACTTCTGACAGTATTTGCGATGTTGCACACCGGAGTATTCCCTGCACGGGGATGCAAAACGAATTCGAGTAAATCTAGTTCGTAGGAACTTGTAGGGAAAACCGTGTCGCCGTTCGGGGCGCAGCAGGGGCATGCATTTAAATTGTGCGTATTACGAACGCTAATTGCATTGGCCCTCGCACGGTCGTCTGGAGTTTGGTTCGCGGTAACGTTACGAGGGTTCCACGTGACGGTTCCTGCAAATTTTACGCGAGGCTCCGTTGTGTTACAGACAGTGCACGGGAATTTGGGAACGGGGAAAATTCGAACGACACGGATCACTGTGCGCCGTGAAATCTTCTCTAATTTCGAGCTTCCAGCAGGACACGTCGAGCCGGTGGATCGTCCGGTCCACTAGCTTTCATTTATTTACTGGTCTAATGGCCGTAAAATAGTTCTTTTATATGTTACGTCTATTTTACGTGTATTAAATTTATGAAAAATTTTTTATTCGTGGTATTGCATTTTAATGTTCATTCACCGTTGTCAAGTTACTGTTGAAATAGAGAGACTTTAGCAATCGGTTCAAGGAAATTCGTATTTTATTTTCAAGTTCTCAAAACCCATTACGAAGATATAAATATCTTCTTTTTTATTCTTACGCGTTTTTTAATACGTTATTTGTACGCGTATATGTGTTTAGTGTCAATCTCCTCCCGAGAATAATAATTTCGCTTATATTCAATGATCCTTAACTCATTACCAATGCCGCATTAATGGAATATTTAATTTGTAATTACTTTTGAGTCAAATTACCTGATTCAAGTCTGTTCTGTAACATCGTGGTTATGAAAGAGAATTTCAGAGATTTACTTCACAATTTATTCATCACTATTTCTCCTTTCACCTAAGTACGTAATTTCGTAAGGAATAAAAGATCTTCTGTGTAAAACTTGTATTCTTTCACTGCTCGGTTCTTAAGAGGTTCAGAAAGAGAATGATC